AACAGCTGGGACAAGTAGGCTCTTTCTTCCCTCTCTCCCTTTCCCTTACAGACTTTTGTTAGCAGCAACATCTGGGGCAACATCTTTGCCCTCAGGCTAATGTGGTCTGGGGACACAGTCTAGGGATGGTGTTGAGACCTCCACAATAGAAGGGAGGCAAAACCAAAAAGGAAAACCAGCATCAGTCAAGAGTGAAAACCTCTAAAGGGCTCCACCCCCCGAGAAAAACCCTCCTTGCCTTATCAGTTGTGGGGGTCCCCTGGTCTTCCTGCCTCTCCACCACAGAACCTAAAGGGAAGCCTGCTTGCTTACAGGCCCTGCCCACTTCTACAGAAGCCGCAGTTAGCCCTCCCATTCCAGAGACAGGTTTGAATGGGAAACAAATGAACACAGCTTCAGAGGAAACCTGTGCCACCTAACCCTAATAAGTAACATGGGGTTTCACTGATAAATGTGACCGGACAGCTAAGGATCACCAGGCCTTTCAGGAAAACAGTCGACGTGAAAGAGAATGACCAAAATAAACAAATGGAACTGACTCCAGAAGAGAGATAATTAAAGAAATGGAAAACATATTAAAATAAATACATTCCTATTTAGAAGGCCAGAGAGGCTGGCCCGTGCTATTCTTCCAGCTTAAAATGTTTTACGATTTCCCCTTCTATCCCCTTAAAGGAAAAATTGGTGATTTGGCAAATATTTACTAATCCTTTACCTTATATCAAGAGCCAAGGATTTGGAGGTTTAACAAATGCGGACGGTAGAGGTGTCAGAGAAGTCAATTATGAGGTTACATGACAAGCACAATGGCAGAGTAACCACAAAAGAGGGCACCTCCTTAACTGGGAGGGAATCTTTTCCCTCAGCCTTAAGAATAAGAGAAGTGGGAATCAGCCTGTGCAGAGGGAATGGCATGAAGAAGCACAGCACATCTAAGGAAATAAAACTAACTTAATAGGCCTGATGCGCACAGGTAAGCAGGAATGAAGAGTGGAAGATGAGAAGAGAAAAGTGGGCAGGTCAGCTTATCTGTTGTGTTAAGAATCAAGACATTATCCTCTAGCAAGAGTCTTCCAGATCTCTTCAGGGAAAATAGTCTTTGTGCACCCCTTTGTAGAACAAACAAAATACTGATATATTTAACTCTTTCATATATACTGGAAATAATTTTCCTTGCAGAAACTATGACTGTGTTCTAGGTTATCTATATAAAATCACAACCACAAACATATTCATACCAAAAACAAGTTGTTGAAGTATTATGCACTTAAAAAATGTTTCCCTCGATACTTGTTTGCTACAAATCATTTACTAGCTAGCAGAAAAGGATGACAGGAACTTAAGAAAATTCTGTACAGGAATAATCAGAAAATGAAACAATTCACAGCATCAATTTAATTCTTTCTGAAAGCTAAGCAAAGGATGATCGGTATTTGACTTGGGCTACAGGCAACTTCCTGCATTCCATGGACCATCAAGTTTCTTGGAAAACTTGGAGAATCATTTCTGGATTTGCAAGACACCTGGAGATTTTAAATGAAGGCCAACACGATGGCCAGCTGCCTCCTTATTGGGGAGTGATAGAAATGGTAGGTCCTGACACAAAGGATTTCTAATATGAACTCAGACATCAGAAAATGGAGCTCAGTCTTGGAAATTGGAATGGTATCCACTTGTTGCCTGAAGCTAGAGGGCCAGGCAGCAGGAGGGTGGAAGAAAGTGGAGGCACCAAGGACTAAAGTATAAGCAGTCCTTTCTGGAGCTGTTGCCATTTATGGCCAACCTACCATACTATGTCCATGTATTTCCCTGGGTCTGGGACAGAGTCTCAGAAAGTCAAATCACATTTGATAGTATGGCTATTTGAAAGATTTGAAATTGACATTCTACTGGCTGTGGGGAAGATAGACAAATTGGAACGGGAAAGGGTGCAAGGAGATACAGTTCAGTAAACTACAAAAGAAAAGATGTGGATCTGGACAAAGATATTGGCAGGGGGCACAGAGAGAAGTTGTGGCAATCAAGATGCTTTAGGGAGGAAGAAATCACTGGGATTGGGGAGAAGGGAGGGGAGAGAGAGAGAGGAGAGAATTATGGATGACTCACAAGTCTCTGGTCTGGGCAATTAGGAGAGTAGAAAGATCCTTCACTGAGCTAGGAAGAACCATAAAGGGGAAAGAGTCTGAGTTGGAAATGGAGTTAGGAATGAGTTGAGTTTGGAGCATTCCAAGAGTAAAGTGGCTATGGAACATCCAAGTAGAGATAGTGACTGGTAGGTGAACTTACAAATCTGAAGTTCAGGTCCAAAGTTAGAGATTTAGGATTTATCACAATGAAGATAATAGTGAAAATCATGAAAGTGCGTGAGAACTTCCCAAAGTAAACATAGAGAATCAGAACTGGCGAAGAGGGGAGGGAGAAAGAGGGAGGAGGGAGAAAAGAAAGATCAAGAAAAAAAAGATAGGAGAGGAGAAGGAAAGAGGGGAGGAGAGAAGATGAAAAACTGAAGACATGGAACACTAAAATTTTAAGGGGTACCAAAAAGGGGGTCACATGAAGTCAGATTTTTTTCTGAGAGGCAGAAACCCCTGATTCCTGGGAAGCCTATGACTTGGACAAAGATAATATATATGATCAACTGGGTCATATAAATCCCCAACACTGGAGTAATAAACAAATGTATACTTGAGTATACACAGGGGGAGAACCTTAAATTAGAAGGAATGTCTGAGTAGGACATATCATGGAAAGCTTTAAATACTGGTAAAATTAAGACCAATAATTTTACAGTCTATGCATATATCATCACATTGGACACCTTAGATACAATTTGTCTTGGTCCATCACACTTCAATAAAGCTGGAAAACAACAGGAAAGAGGTTATGGTGACATAGAATTGAAGAATGGCGAGTACACAGAAGGGTGACAACAGAATAAGTCAACGGAATAATAGAGAAGTCACTAACAATGAGTTCTAAAAGGTATCCGCCAAAACTATTTCTGAGCTAATAACGGTCGGAGCAGTGTTAGGAGTACATTGCGGAGAGAAAGTCAGATTGCAGGAAGCTAGAGGTCACGCGGGGGAGCCAGGAAGGTTGGAGAAGAGCTCTCTTGAGGTTGGTCACAGGAACAAATCTTGCTACTGTCTGCATCTCTGTGGGCTCTTCGGCATCTTCTCCTTTGGGGCTTGGCAGGGCTATCTTCTCAGGGTCCTTGCAACTCTGGCCCTCTGGGACTATATGAAACTGGCCTCAGAGAGGGCCTGGAGCCCATTTTGCTTCTCATGATAGCTTTCTTTCAGCAGAACTAAGGTCACTTGTCTAAGAACTGAGGTCTCTGACTTGACTGATCAAAGCTCATCACGTGCACTGAAGCAGATGTACTTGGCAGATGTAATGAAAAGCTTTGCAGGTCTGGGCCCAGGACAGGATGCTAGGGCGTGGGAGGGGAAGAAAGCAGCTGCTAACTACACAGGCAGCACGCCTATCAGAGCAGCTTGTACATTTCCTATTTGTCTCTCAAAATAATTTTATAGGAATCACCAAAGCAATCTTATCACTGTTTCTAGATGAGACTGGGTTGTGGGGTAGGGATTTCCATGAGGGTGTTTAGTTTAAAGCCAATCTGATAAGATAACACAAAAGCCATTCAGCAATGTGTAATCTTGGACACGTCAGTGATTCAGTTCATTGTCACAAGTCAAGGTGTTTTGATGTTGGTATATCTATTTGATTTTTAGCAGTATGTAAAGAGTTGGCAATTATTTGCAAAATTCTTGTCTTGGGCTAAGAAAACTCTTTAAAAACAGGTGTGAGAGTTGTTGCTTAACCTGCAAAGCTCTGTCATGCACAGCTTCATTCAGTCTTCATAACAAACTATGGAAGAGGCAAGGCAGATATGGCTTAGAGTATGAGGAAACTGAGGTCTAAAGAGGTAAAGTAATTTGGCTAAGGACCATTGCAATTTATTGGTAGAGCACAGAATAGGATACACAGCCCACAACTGCAAACTATTTTCATTATACGAAACTATTACATCAGCATCAGTGATAATTTGTAGATTATTTTGTTTGGTTTGGTTTGGGTTTTTTGAGACAGGGTCTCACTATGTAGTTGAGAATAACCTGGCACTCACTACGTAGCCCAGGCTGGTCTCGAACTCACAGCGATCCTCCTGCCTCAGCCTCCCGAGTGCTGGGATTACAGGTGTGCGCTACCACACCTGGATACTGATAATTCATAGACTAGAACAGTGCAGACAGGCGACATGGCTATCTCGGGCTAGTATTTTTACTTTAGCTTCAATCCCAACATTTTGGCTGATTTCTTTGAGCAAAGATTTTTTTTTGCACTATATTTCCAGATAAATTATATTTAATAATTGTTAGCACTCTGTTTTACTTTGTGCCATGTAGTGTTGACTTGCAATGCCGTTAGGATTTTGTTGAGCTTCAAGATTAAATAAGTAAACTCTTGAGAAGCAATCAGCTAGTGGCAAAGCAGCCATAAAATCAATCCAAACTTTTGTTGACATTTGTTTCTTTCCCTTTATGCCAGGTTCCCGCTTTGTATTAGTAAGATTGAAATTGAAATAAGTCTATCACTGGTGGATTCATTTGTCACTTTCCTTGAAACTGGTGAACCCAGGATGTTAGACAGTGATAGGAAAATACTGCCATTGTCTGTTAAGAAGTCTGTGACATTTCAAGGCAAGAATGAATGTATGGAATAAGAAACTTGTTTCTTCTTTACTAACAAAAGGGAAAGCCTGGAAGTGAATGATATGGGTATAATTAAAAAAAAAAAAAAAAAAAAAAAAAAAACTTACGTAACTTTTTTTGCTGGGAGAGAAGACTACGAAGCACATTTTCCAGGAAGTGTGGGCTGCGACGATTGTGCGCTCTTAACTAATCCTGAGTAAGGTGGCCAATTTGACAGTCTTCTCATGCTGCCTCTGCCACCTTCTTTGTCAGAAGATACCATTTCAACTTTACCCCAGCATGATCGAAACATACAGCCAACCTTCTCCCCGATCCGTGGCCACTGGACAGCCCGTCAGCATGAAAATTTTTATGTATTTACTTACTGTTTTTCTAATCACCCAGATGATTGGGTCTGCATTTTTTGCTGTATATCTTCATAGAAGGTTAGACAAGGTAAGATCAACTACAACCTTGTGTTAACTAAATTGGAAGTCTAACTAATTTGTGGATCTGTTGATTTTAATTCTGCTCAAATGATGGAGAATGACAGAAACTCAAGTAGATTAATGGTCTTGTGGAATATTTGTTATCTGGTCAGTGAAGTCTCACGTTCTTGTCTCTGATTAAGATCTTGGGATCTGGAGTCACACTGCCTAGCTTCAGCTCTTGACTCTGACCTTACCAGCTCTGTGATCCCGGGCAAGTTATTGTACATTTTTTATGCCTCAGTTTCCGCACCTGCAAAATGAGACTAGTAATAGCGCTCATTTTGTAGATTAAGTGATTCTAGTCTTGTACAGTGCTTAGAATTGTGCCTGGCACAAAGTAAGTGCTGGGTAGACACTAGATATCATTATTTCCTAAAGTTTGACTTTAAAATTTCAACAATTTTTCCCCAGGTAGAGACAACATTTTCCTCTTAAATTTCCACCTAGGGAGGAAATTTAAGTGCACCAGTTTGATCTGAAATTTCATAGTGCTTCAGGTTGACCCATAGATGAGTCTCCGAATTTGCAGATTTTTTAAATAAAAATGGTGCTCTCTGCACAATTCTTCACGTGCTGACCATAGCTGCAAGCTACTCAATGCCCATCCAAGGTGCTTTTAGATTCTTAAATGTTTGGACTTACAAGAATAAAAAAGAAGAGTAACTTAGCAAGTTGCTTTTGCCTTCTTAGGAAAAAATAAGTGTCAGGATTTATGTTTTTTCTGTGTATTTGATCATTTCCACTGAAGGGCGTTACTGGCCGTGTTGACAAAACACAAATCATAGTAAGAGAAAAGTGGTCAATTATCTGCCTATTCCTAAAAGTCTGGACTGTGGCTTGGCAGCATCCACATGACTGTTTTCTCAGGGATCCTTGGCTGTCCTCTCTTGGGATATAGACCTAGGATTAGGGTCATGAAAGTCTGCTAGTATAAGGCAAGGTAGTGTGTGTTGAGGTGATCTACTAGGACACTCACACTTCAGGTTTCATTCCTGAGACAGAAGCGGGTTCTGGGTCTGGATGCTTGTTTGTTTGCTCTGATGGGCTCTGTTGATAAAATGTCTGGAATATGCCTCACCTCCAAAGGGAAAAGGTGACCCTGGCAGACTCAAGTGTACCATAGCTTCGAGGTGTGTCCTTAATGACAACAAAAGTCCTCAGCAAATGCGATCTTGTTTTGAATCGTAAAAATCTACTCATAAGAAAATGGACTAGGATTAGTGGATGAAACAAGTGAATTCTATCCATTTAATCATTATTAAGATATGAGAAAATAAAATACCTCATTGACTTTGGGGATGAAAGGTGACTTCTTTAAAATGCAAATGTTTTCCACAAATACTGAAGTTAAGAAGGGACAGAGATGTAATTAGAATTTGAGTTAATGGACACACAATGCAAATGAACTTTTCCTAAAGCCCTGCATCATGTACACTAAATTGAAGTGCGCAAGTTAGTTCAGCCAAAGACTATTTTATAGGCTGATGAGAAATGTGGCAATTATAGAATAGTGCTGCGATGGTGCATTAAAATATATATACACTCTTCGATGGAAGTTTATTAGAATAGCTGTGATTTCTACCTAGAGTTTCCAATAATATGCAATAATATGGTATCTCCATTGCTGGCTTTTGTAGCTCTTTAAATGGCAAAAACCAAGTAGCAATAATCCCACATAATAACATTACATTTTCTATTTATGCTCTCAAAGTCCTTTTCTTATTGGTGCCACAGAAGTAAATGTGGAGGCCGACATCATTAGCTGCATTCTTCTTCACAATGACATTTCTCATGTCCTTGTTATTTCAAAATAGATAGAAGATGAAAGGAATCTTCACGATGATTTTGTATTCATGAAGACAATACAGAGATGCAACAAAGGAGAAGAATCTTTATCCTTGCTGAACTGTGAGAAAATCAGAAGCCAGTTTGAAGGCTTTGTCAAGGTAAGGCTCTCCGTTATTGGTAAAAGTCACTGAAAAGTTTTACCACATGTGTTAGGTTAGGAAATTGAAATCCAACAATGTGAAAGCTTAAAAATTTACTATATACACATATGCCTACTTATCCACGTGTATATACGCAAACGTACATACCAGGGTATGGATATGTATATATTAGAAGAACAAACATTAAGCCAAAATCTTATTTTTAAAAAGCAAAAGCAAGTTGGAAATGTGTGTATTCCTGCTTGATAAAATCAAAAAGGCTGTCTTTGGGGGAAAACATACATTTTCATGAGCGTATGCTTGTATGCTCGCTAGCTCACATAGGCAGGTGCCAATGAGCAAAGTTATACAGTACATCAGATTTTTTTTTCATTTTTCTACTTCCCCACCCAAACTTGGATGTCTTCCCACTGTGGAGCCAAGGTCTAATCCCCATTTCTCAGGGACCAGTAGCTCTTGGCCATTGCCATGCTGGCAGACCTCAAGCAAAGGTATTGCTTGTCCTGGGAATGGTAGGGACTCGTGAAGTCGGATGCAGTCTCTAGTGTTCAGCCAATGATGGAGTTTCAGGTGCTGAGAAAGCAAGGTCTTTCCCTTTCATTGTGGAGAAGGTGTGCAGGGGATGAGCCATGACCATTCCTAGTGCTGCTCAAACCGTGCCACATTTACTAGCACTTGCACGTGCAGCCAGCCCACTCTGGAGTCAGTCGTGACCAGAGACAGAGGTCTGAAATCTTCTAACCTCCCCCCCAGCAAAGCCAGTTTAAAAATCAATTATGACTGTGAAATGTAATGGGTGCCTAAAACAAGAATTTTTAGAATTTTTCCTTTAAGTTGCTCATCACGGATATGAGGTCAAGGGGCTCCCTTTCCCAAGAGAGAACATCAAGTATTCTCATTTCCCATTTCCCTCCCAGAGCACTGAGTCAAATCCCTTTGGACCTCAGCTCATTTAGAGTTCATGTCTAGGAGCTCCACATTGAGGGCAGCTCTTTGTGGGGGGGGTATTAGAGTAAACCAACAGGAATTCTTTTTTCATATACCATTTTGTGTAAATTTAATAAGGGAGTAAGGAGCTTAAGATCATTTTAAATACCACGATTTCACATTAAAACTTACAACCCACTTCACCCTCAGATAGAACAGCCAGCACTATGGTTATCTGCCCACCAATGCCTGAGATAATTTTGATAGAGTCAAAGTATTTTCAAGTTAAAAAGCAACCTGTCCATACCTGCCACATAGAGTTTCCACTTAGAAAGGAATACCTAATCCCAGATTTACTGAAAATCAAACTCTGAAAAGTCTTTCAATTGAGGTATAAAACCAAGCAACAAAAGAAAAAGGGCTCTGGGGAGCATATTTGGGGAAAAGTTCACAAAAAGGCAAAGCTGGGCTTATAAAAGACAAACTTTGCTGACTTCACATTTTCATCTTGGCCAAGCCTTGACACCGATGCAACCACGTAGCCTAAAAGTATCTCAGCCTCAATCATCACACTCTAGTTTTTGAAAAGACACTAAACAGTCATTTGTTTACTTGTTATCTCACAAACATTTTCCTGTCGCTGCATTTTCATAGTGCCCCACTTCAGCTCGAATGGAAAGTTGAAGCTCTGCGGCCCATGTGAGCGTTTCAAGGCTCAGGTTCCCCTTGGGGTTCTGTGACTTACACCCTCACATCTGGCAACTGAGCTGAGCCTACAGCTAAAGAGTCACCAGTAACAACAGAAATTCCTTCTCTTAGAAGAGGAAAACAAAGGAAGGAACTTGTAGACAATTAATTCCAGGCATGGAAAAGAAGAGAAGACTTTGATTATCAGAAGATGTGAAAAATACTACTGTCTTCTTCCTTGTGTTCAGAATATAGATGAGCCGGGTCATATGGTCTCTTGGTTTAAGTTTCAGGCCCTTTAGGTGACCTAATACTGGCCAGTTAGGCCCTTCGGGCCTTTTATTCAGTCCCTTTAAAATGGCAGCGAAAGCCTTTCTCATCTTCCAGCCCATGTTGATGAGAGTTCCTGTTATTTTCAAGTACCTCTAGCATTCTTTCAGTTTGTAAGGGAAAAGAAATCTTTCAAGTAGTGTTGTATTTGCTTTTGAATATCAGCAGCGTTGGGAGATGATCTGTGTTGCCCAAATGGCGATTATTCTAATAAAATATGAGCCACACAGGACAATTATCAGCAAGGAAATCTCTCAAGCCCATTGAAAGAGATTTTAAAAAATTATGTGAGGGGGATTTTATAGTCTGAGCTTTATCTCCAAAGGTCAAACTTACGATTACCTTTCCTATGAGATTTCAGACCAATTTTATTATAGTAGATACACATCATGCTTAATGTTCATTAATATCCGATAGACCAGTTCCCAGGGTAAAAGCAGATCTTCAGTGAGCACTTTTTGTCAGTATCTGGCAAAGCCAGGGAGGTTGGAGTCATAGGAAGGGTCAGTATCACAGCCTCTGGACTGGCATGGAGATAATAAGGCTTAGATTTTCTTCCAGATTCTCTCCTGGGCTTTCTGGGCTGTCAGCTCATCTGTCAGAGCCATGAACTCCCAATTGGTATGATAAAATTAACGACAGCATCGTAGTCTGTATGATAATCCTCACTGGAAACAGACAACAGAGTAAGGATGGATGCCAAATGAGTGATACTGCTAAAGCCCCATCACAGACATCCTGTCAAAATGACCTCTTACAATGATTTTTCTTTTAGGATATAATGCAAACCAAAGAGGAGAGGAAAAAAATCAGCTATGAAAGGCAAAAAGGTACGTTGCTACTCATCAATTTCTATGAATGTTTATATATTGGAAGGAAGATTTAGGCTGATCACATTGAACAGCAAGTGATAAATTAGGGAACGTTTAGTCCTGAAAATAAAACAAGAAGAAAACTGTTTACTTGATACCTGCTGTGGTCCCTGTGATTTGGAAAGACTTTGGATGCTGATATTTATAGGGAAGGCTATGTTCCCATTAATGCTGACAATATTAAGTGCAAAAAAATTCCATTATATTCGGGATACCTTAATCCAAACAACCACACCATCTGCTACCACCTTCAGAGGATGAAAGGGCAGAAAAGTCATCATTTGGTAAAAATGGTATATTCATTGCTCAAAGATAATAAATTTTCATGGAGGATAGTGGTCAGGAAGCCTTCTGGGATCAAGGAGTGACAGGGTCACAGCATTCTAATCTTTGCTTTGTTCTTGGAGTCAGAGCACCCCAAACATCTTAGGGTTAAAGAGAGATCTTGATGGTTCTCAAATCCAGCACAATCCTCAGAACATAAATCTCCTTTAAAACGGCACTGACCATCTGGCCTCCAATCAAATATGTCTAGGGATAAGGAACCTTCTACCTTGTCAGGCAGCTGTGCATGTCTTTGAACAGCTCTGATAAATATAGTAAGATTACTACACTACTCACGATTATGTCTGTCCTTCTCTTGAGTCAAATTTTGTTCTTCATCTCTAATCAGCAAAGACCCATCTCTGCTCTTTAAAGGCATGCTAATCAATTTACACTTCTTCTCTTACACAGCAGCTGTGCAGATCCTGAAGGCAACGATCATGACCTCTGAGCTTTGAGGCTTTCTTTCTCCAGGCTAACCATGCCCGGGGTCTTCCACTGTTCTTCTCATGACATTTCTAGGACTTTCCTTCTCCCAGTTACTTCTTTTTCTGGACACACCAACTTTTCTCCTGTTCCCTTTATAATATAACGCCTGAAACCAATGCAATAATACGGGAAGTGCCTTGAGCTGTGGAGGAAGGAAAGGAAGCGTGTTGGAGAGACTATTATAGCACAAACATGGTGAATGTAATGCCATGGCTTGTGCAAATCTGTTGCACACAAAGAAATGCATCCAAATAAATACTATTTTCTAAGGTAAAGAGAGTGCTCAGAACTCACCTTAACCATTGGTCCAGATGCTACATGGTCATCTGATTCCCTTGAAGTTTTCATCCTCAGAATGACTGAAAGTCATGTAGAGTGGTACTATGTTCTCTGTTAAGGACAGAAAAATCGAGGGAAACAGATCCTGTGGCTGCTGCCCAGCAGTCGTCAGGAAAATCCTAAACTCAGTCAAACTGGTGTTCAAGTTATGCATTTGGATTCACTTACAGTGCACCTGCCAAGTGCACAGCACCTGTCTCATAATTTAAAAATACAAGCTTACACACGGTCTCTTCACTTAGGAGATGAGCACTTCGTTAAGGTGCAAATTTTTACATGAGAAACAATTCGAGATAGACACACCCGTTTGGCCAGTTGCTGGACCCAATTAGGCTCTGTAAACATCTTACTAGGTGTGCAGATAAATGTTGGGACCCACAAAGACTCCCAATGTCTCAGAGTTATTCCTAAAAGCAAGATTCAGGATGTCCTAATGAGGACAGGAATTTTTAGCCTGTGTCAATCTATGTGACATATTGAAAACCTATTTGGAGAAGGGGAGATCACTCAAAACATCTAATTCAATGATTTCAGATATTAAGAAACCAAATGTTGCTCCAGTGGGAAGGATTTCATTCTTCCTTTCACATAACCTACCTTAGGAAAGTCTCTGGTACACAGTTGTAGACCTGAACGAACTTGTTCCATGGGAAGTTTTATATCTCCTTGGCCTGACGGTTTGCTTTTGGTTTCATTTCAGGTGATCAAGATCCTCAAATTGCAGCACATGTCATAAGTCAAGCCAGTGGTAAAACAGCATCTGGTAAGCTCTATAGCATATGAGGGTCAACCACCCAAGGGGGAAGGCTGAGATATGGACGCAGTACAGCATAATGATTAGGCATCTCTCTTCCTCAGGGGCCCAATTTACAAAGATGCCCACACACCTCTCAAATGCTGTTTTTTGTCTTCAAAGTAAACTGCAATGCACAGTTGGGACTATGAGGGACAAAGGGAGATGGGAAGAAATCCCAATGTTCTCATTATGTTCTCGCTCAATGGCTGATTCTCAGTGATGAATTCCTAGGTGGGGAGACCATTATTCTGACAGCATAAGAGAAATGGCAGCTGGTGACCCCCTGACTGGGGGCATGGCCCTCCCAGCCCCACTTCACTGTGTGTAAATAGGCTTCAAGGGATCTTTTCTGTTACCTGTCAATCCCTGTGTCATTAACCCCAGCCTCACTGGGGCCCACCTCAGGGAAATTAAAGGTAAAATCATTCTGTTAAGATCAATAGGTGTCAAGACATTAGATTTTTCCAATGAAGTAACAACATACGACAGACTGTGTGATCTTTTCAACTCGGAATCATTTTATTTCCATATACGTTCTGCCATCATTTTAGCTCTTAGATTTTTTTTCCCAAATCTGTACCTTGTGATAGCTGGTGCTGGAGAGTGTGTCGCATCTGATAAATGGATGGAAACATATACGCTAGCATAAAATCCCCCGTCTACACAAATGCAAGAGCAACAGAGCAGTCTGAAAATTCAGCAGAGTGCTCCGGAATAGAGCCTCTAAACACCACAGCGGGGCGGGGGGGGCAGCACACATATGCAACAGACAGAGGCAGAAACCAAGAAAGGGAGATTCTGCTTCATCCCTGAAGTGCTGTGGGCTTCTCAGTGGGTGTAGCATCATGGCTCTAATATGGAGCTGGGTTTGGAAGAGTAGCAGAGAGGCAGTTTTTGAATACTAGGATTCGAGAACCATGACGATTACCTGCAGAGTGACTTTTGACAAGTCCCTACAACTATGCAGCAGTTTCCTGCCTCACCTACTTCATGGGGGAGCTTTCAGTATCAAATCAGCGCATGTGAAAGAAAGTTACGCTGCAGTATTATACTATGCCAATGTAAGGTGCCACTACTTAGCATACTTCACTGTGGTTTAGATGTCAAAAGAGTGACACAAAGCCCCTCAGTAATGCCAGTTATGCTATACCATCTAATAATTCTGTTATACATACCTTTCTCAGAAAATACACTTATGGGAGAAGGTCGTAACAATATTACCCTGCCCAGTGTTTTTCTTTCTCCCTCCCCCAACCCCTGCTCTTTCTTTACTCGGATTAAACCCAGGGCCTTCACACTGTTCTGCATCCCCAGCCCTTTTAGTATTCTTTATTTTGAGATAGGGTCTTATTAAGTCGCTAAATTACCCAAGCTGGTCTGAAACTCGAGATCCTCTTATCTCAGCCTTCTAGAATGTTGAGATTACAGGTGTATGCCACCTTGATCATCTAGGCACTTCTCTTGAATTCAATGACAGCAATAGAGAAACCTAGAATCACCTCAAGACTGGTCTTTGTATACCTCTACCTAAATCGTTGCTCTTAGATATATTTTTCAGAGTTCAGACTATCCCTAAAGGCTCATGATTCATAGTGGTCCTACAATATCATACAATCTATGTTGTGGGAGGTCTGCTGGAGATCAGGTGCAGAGATAGTAACATTCATCCCCCACCCTAAGCCCAAATCTCTTCTTCCAATCTGATCACACTGCTGCAAACTTCACTTACATCCTACAGCCAGGACTAACAATAAGAGAGAAATTAACCAAGTAAACACAATGGGCTAAAACACAGAGAATGTGCCAAATGGTCCAAAGGTAAAAACAACATAAAAGAAGCATCCTTTCTGGAGCGGTTTGGGAGGCCCAGAGATGTGAGGCACTTTGGGATGCCTATGTGTTACTAAAGGATAAATCCTAATAGGTAGGATGTTGTGCCCTAATAGACCTAAGACCACTGAATAGGAAATTTTTTAAAAGGTGAAGGAAGCAAATGCATCAATACTTTCCCTTCTCCCCAACCCCCAACCTTGTCAGCCAATCTAGCACTCTGTGGGAGCTGAGATTTGAAATCGAGTGCACACACTACTTTGAACCCACTCAACATCTCAGCTGAGAAAATGGCATGCCATTGGTGGGTACTCTGGTTTAGCCACAAGAATACAGGTGCTTTCAAGTTGGTGGCGCCCACTACAATGGGAGATCAAAACACAATGAAATACACACACAATTTATTTTCATATTTTCTTGCCTAATTTTAGTCCTTGCTGTGGGAGGCAGTTCAGGTCTCAACAGCATGACCATGTAGGAAGAAATGGAGTCTTTTCTCTGAGCTGAAGCTGAGACAAGTAGATCAACAACTTTGGCTTTATAAAATTGAAGGCAAGTGAGACAGGCATGGTGGTGCACACCTGTAGTCACAGCACTTGGGAGGTTGAGGCAGAAGGATCGAAGTGAGTTCGAGGCCAGCCTGGGCTACTTATTCAAACCCTGTCTCGAAAGGAAAATTCAGCCAAGCAAGGTGTTTGTGTCAATATCAGCAAGGATTTAGTTTTAAGAATTTGGTATGCATAATTTATGATAGGAATTTTGAAACATTTGCCCTTTCTGAAATTCAAGGGCAAATTGGCTTTAAAAACTGTAAAGGGAGGGGTCTCATCATGATGTTGTTTTATTTAATCTTCACAAGTCTCTAAAATATGCTGTAATATTAGCCCACACTGCCAATGAGGAGCTAAGGGGAGCCCAGTTGGGAACCTGGCTTTGTTTGACCCTAAAGCTCATTCTAATTTGTAATCCATGCCTCTGAAGGCTGGCAAGGACCTTGAGAATTCATTCCTACACAGAGCCAGCATCCAAACTTAAAATCTATTTCCTGTTAGGATGTGAACCATGCTCTGCTTCCGGGGGGGAACCCTCACCATCTTTCCCCTCTTTGTTACAGTGCTACAGTGGGCCGAAAAAGGATATTACACCATGAGCAGCAACCTGGTAACCCTCGAAAATGGGAAAGAGCTGACCATTAAAAGACAAGGACTCTACTACATCTACACCCAAGTCACCTTCTGTTCCAATCGAGAAGCTCCGAGCCAAGCTCCCTTTATAGCCAGCCTCTGCCTGAAATCCACGAGTGGCTCCGAGAGAATCTTACTCCGGGCGGCAAATGCCCACGGTTCCTCCAAACCTTGCAGGCAGCAATCCGTTCATTTGGGAGGAGTATTTGAATTGCAACCAGGTACTTCGGTGTTTGTCAATGTGACTGATCCAAGCCAAGTGAGCCACGGGACCGGCTTTACCTCTTTTGGCTTGCTCAAGCTCTGAACAGTGTACCCCCAGGCTGAGGCTGAGCTGGTGCTGGCAGTCTTCTCAAAACAGCAAAGCAGTGGAGACCACCCCCCCATGGAACTGCCTATTTATAACCCTAGGATCCTCCTCGCGGAGAACTATTTATTATACACCCCAAGGCATGTAGGGCTGTAGTAAATGAATTGCAGGGTGGGCGAGACCCCAACAGACCCTGCTCATAAGAGCTTGTATTCTGAAGCAGCAAACCCACTGATGCAGACATCCGGAGAGTCCTGTAAGAAGACAAGGCCAGTGTGCACAGATAGAATCCTGAGTAAACAGCAGATAATTAGTCAAGTTCAGTTTTGTTTCTTTATGTGCAGTGTCTCTCAGTGGATCATGTATTTGGTTTACCAGTGAAGATGCAAAAGTCAGAACGGGGAGCCTCAGCTCACGTTCAACCGTGGCTGACCCTGTAGCTCTGGTAGAAGAGGCCAGGAGCTAGAAAGTGGATCAGTATGGAGAACTGAGAATCCTGTGCCCACATCGCCTGACACTCATTCATTCATTCATTCTCAATTTCTCTTTCAATCTTATTCTCTCAATCTCTCTCTCTCTCTCTCTCTCTC